TAAGGAATCTAACCGTTCTTCTTTTATGCTAAATCTCCGTCTTAAGCGTTTATGGAATTTCTTTCTTCATCGTACCTACAATAGATTCACTGGATGGATTAGGGTTGAAGAGTAGTTGGGAAGAAAGAGGGAAAAGTAGTATGATAGTAAGAGGGTTTGAGAGAGATTAGGGTTTTCAGAATTAGGGGTTTAGAATTCTGATTTTTCTATCCTCGTAATGCTGAACGAAGACCCCTATTTATAGGCGTAGAGATCTATGTTTAGGGTTTTAGAGATGCGCTGTCAGGTGGCGCGTGCAACTCTCTGAGTCGCGCTGGGTGCCGCGCGCATCTCAATTAGTCGTGCTTGCTAGGCGCACACAACTTACTGAGTTGCGCTGGGATGCGGTTTGTCTTATACCAAAATGCGTTTTTTAAAACTTCCATAACTTTTGATTGCAAAGTCGGATTTAGGCGTGTGAGATATCATTGGAAAGCGCAGAATGTCTTCTTTTCCATGACGTTAGAATTAGGTTAAAGTATGTTATGGATAAAAATATATTTCCGTTGGAGTGCAAGGGTGTCGGTTTTAGGGCCCGGTTTAGTGTTTTGATCATAACTTCTTCGTTTTGGGTCTAACTTTGGCTTATAATATACTGTTAGAAAGCTCTTTGAAAGGGATATCCATCTGTATATGCCATGCATGGGAATTTTATGGTTGGTTTATCTCTTTGGCTCGGTTTTCTACAATGTAAGATCCATTGGATCGATTCATTGCATTTGCCGCATTTGGGTTCGTTATTAATCAAGTTTAAACATGTATGAGCACGTTTTAGGCCAAATAAGTAATCGGACAAGGCTCTAAGATTACTTGGTCTTACTACATAATGCATTTCGTAGTCCATAAACATTTCAACTTTGATCTAACTTGAAGAATGGATTTTTGTAACATCATCGCATTTCCTTTCGGGACAAGAGGCCAAAAGTAGGTGTCTACAAAAACAACATTAAAAACCCAAGAAAAATAACACAATCAATCAATACCACTAAATAATACGACAATTAGAATCATATTATACCACACACTAATCATGTATATATATAAATCATGATCTTATATAATTCACAAATTATAAAATTTACACATAACAATACGGAGTACAATCAATATATTAACGATTTATAATCAAACAAATCTAAAAAAATAATTAAGGTCGTGTGATTATATAAATAAATAATACAATCAAATTATAAACAAATGATCTAAAGGTTGATAGTGTGATTACATATAACAAGCAAACATCTCCAAATAGCCATGTGTGATTACCTTTTAACCAATCACAATACAATTGTGATATACGACGAAATAGCTCGGCTATAATACTAATCAAGGCCGCTGTGAATCAACATATAGATCACCAATGTCATGTTGGTGATTATAGAATAAACCAAAAACAATTAAAAAAAAACAAATTTCGGTTTACTAATTAATGAAACTAGCGTATAAGCAAATAGGATAAAAATACTCCAAGGTTAATAAAACTAGCGTCTGCCGTTTGTTTTAATAAAATAATAATGTAGAGTTGAAGGATATAAATACTTTATCATAAAAAGATTCTAACCAACATAAGAAATGTATTTTAGAATTTTATCAAATAAGATAAGAAAATAAAACTTTAAAGTATACAACTCTAATTTTATAATTTGTAAAATCATAAAATACACGGGTATTACAATCTACCTTCCTTAAAACAAGTTTCGTCCCAAAACTTAAAATAGAAAACAATTTAGGGTATTACAATCTACCCTCCTTAAAACAAGTTTCGTCTCGAAACTTAAAATAGAACAAATTTAGGGTATTAAAATCTACCCTCCTTAAAACAAGTTTCGTCCTCGAAACTTAAAGCAGAAAAATAATTTGTAAATTTGAAATAGAATAAAAACTAAACCAAACTTTTTCTTATAAAATATATAGATAGAGTACTAAAAATATTAGGGGTATTACAACTTATGGCCGACAAACTATTAGCCGGGCGATGAATAAGGGTTGCAAACTTCTGGCATTTATCGCATTTCTTCACCATCTACATGGCGTCTGCGTTTAAGCTCGGCCAGTAATACCCTAGGTAGGTGGCCTTCTCGGCCAAGGCTTTTCCTTTAATATGCAAACCACAATGTCCCTGGTGGAGGTCGTCCAGCACATCATGCTCCCTTTCCGGAATAATACATTTCAGATAAGGTTTCACAAAGGCTTTCTTGAATAACTCCCTGTTCTTCATCTCGAACCAGGCCGCTCTCTTTCGGATCAGCTGGAAGCAATCCATCTCTCAGATAGGAAATAATTCCGTCCATCCTGGTTGAGCTTCTATCAATAGTCTGTAATGGCTCGACATCGATACTCCTCTTTTCCTTTACTTCCCAAAACAACCATCTGGGAGTATAACATGATGCCGAGGATGCTAATTTGGAGAGGGCGTCTGCTTGATGATTGGACGAACGGGGAACGTGTTGAAGAGTAAAGTGCTCTAGGCTCTCGGCCTCTTCTTTAACCATCTCCAAATACTTCATCATAGCCGGATCCCTAGCCTCATAGTCACCATTCAATTGACTGACTATTAGCTAGGAATCTGAGCTTATATTAATCTTTGTTGCTCTTGCCGCCTTACACATTCTAAGGCAAGCCAGGAAAGCTTCATACTTTGCCTCGTTGTTAGAGGCTTGGAATTGAAATCTCAACGCATATTCAAACTTGTCTCCTTCGGGAGACTGACAAATAATTCCAGCACCGCATCTGGTTGCTGTCGCGCTTCTGTTTACATAGACCTTCCATATCTAATCTCTGACCGGCTGTAAGTCCAGCCTAGTCATTTCTGTAAAAAAATCAGTAAAAGCTTGCCCCTTGACCGCTTTTCTGGGTTGGAATGTGATGTTAAAACCCCTAAGCTCCGAGGCCCACTTAAGCATTCGGCAACTGGCTTCCAAATTTGCAAACGACTTCTTAATCGGCTGATCACTATAAACAACAATTGAGTGGGCTAAAAAATACGGGCGTGGCTTCTTGAATGTCATAAACAAGGCCAGACCAAACTTCTCTATGGGCGAGTACCTAAGCTCGGCATTGCGCTGCACGTGGCTGATGAAATAGACTGGGATTTGATTGCCTTCCTTTTTAATAAGGAGGACGACTCTTATGGAGTGATCGGAAATAGCAAGATACATGTATAGCTTTTCATCTTTGAGTGGACTGACGAGCCAAGGCAATGTATGCAGATGGCTTTTCAATTGTACGAAGGCTTCTTCGGCTTCTTCAGTCCACTTCAACATAGCTTTCTTCTTGATAGTCTGAAAAAAGTATCGGCACTTATCCCCTGATTTTGACAAAAATCGGCCGAGTGCAGCTAGACAGCCGGTCAATCTTTTCACTTCTTTGATTGTCCTCGGCAACTTCATGTCTAAAATAGCTTGAACTTTTTTAGGGTTGGCCTCAATTCCTCGTTGATTGATTAGAAACCCGAGAAATTTGCCGGACTCAACACCAAAGACACATTTCTTTGGATTTAGCATCATCTTATGTCGCCTGAGTTTGGGAAACGTTTCTCGGAGATCCTTGAGATGGTCGTTCGACTCTTTTGACTTGACAATCATGTCATCAATATACACTTCCATATTCCGGCCGATCTGATCTCTAAAAACTGTATTGACGAGTCTCTGAAAAGTAGTAGGGGCATTCTTGAGACCGAATGACATAACTTTAAAGAAGTACAGTCTCTGCTCAATCACAAAAGTCGTTTTCTCTTGATCTTCCTCCCACAATGGATCGGGTGGAATCCGGAGTATGCATCCATAAAGCTCATAAGAGCATGTCCGCCCGTAGAGTCAACTAGTCGGTCAATTTTTGGCAAAGGAAAGCTATCCTTCGGACATGCCTTGTTGAGATCAGTATAATCAATGCACATTCTCCATGTTCCATTCGGCTTCTTAACAAGAACTACATTAGCTACCCAATTTGTGTAGTAACATTGCCGAATGAAATTGGCGTCCAACAACTTTCTTACTTCAGATTCGGCCGCCATATTCCTTTCTTCTCCGTGATTCTGTTTCTTCTAACGGACGGGCTTAACAAGTGGATTAACAAATAACTTATGCACGACCAGGTCTGGGCTAATACCCGGCATTTCACTCACTTCAAATGCAAACACATCTTTGCACTCTCTTAGCGGCTTGACTAGGTTGTCCCTAAGCAGTCTTACGACTAGAATGCCTACCTTCACTATCCGCTTAGGTTGGTCAAGATCCAGCACTACATCTTAGTGATCGCCGGCCGGCTGTGGCCTTAACTCTTCTGGCCGGCCGACGGTCATTAACTGCTATGCTTGCTTTTTCTTGGCCGCCTTTCTTTTTTTGGCCGACGTGGTATGATTGGAGTGACCCTTCGTCTAAGTTTTGTTCGGACTACTTTGCTCGTCCACGAATAGTCGACTTCACAGCTAATTGATTACATTCTTTCGCCATTTTCCGATTTCCTTAAATCGAGCCAATCTGCCTGTCCGATCTTTCAAACTTCAACAACATAAGGTGCGTCACAATGACTTCCTTGGATGCGGTTAGAGTGGGTCGGCCGAGTATGACGTTGTACCCAATTATCTCTTTGACCACTAGGAAGCGGACTACCATGTCTCATCCTGCCCCTTTTTACCCTAGCAGGACTGGCAAGTTAATCTGGCCGGTCTGGTGGATAACTGTCCCTCCAAATCCAACCAACGGGTGAGAGACGTCCTTCAGAGCATCCTCCGGGAACCTCAAATTTTTCATACAGGCGAGGCTGATAATGTCGGACGAGCTGCCCGTATCAATCACTATCCTCTTAACCTTCAGATTGGCTATCTTCAGAATAAATACCATTGGATCATTGTACATGGCCTTGACCTCTTCTTGACTGGCCTCACTCACTATTACCTCTAGGAAAGGCTCGGCCTTAACTCCTTCAATATGCATTACTTCTTTTCCCAAATTCCATGCATCCTACTTAATTTCTCTCATGGTTGGGCCGCATGCGGCAAAGCCGCCTGATATGACAACCACAAAACCAGAGTCCATGCTGTTTCCATCTTTTTTCTTCTCATTTTGCTTTTTCTTCTCGAACTTATTGTCTATCCGAGTGTATGTGAACTTGGACTTCATCAGGTACGAATTGAGCATGCCCTTCTCGGCCAATTTGTCTAGCAACCTCTTTAAATTGTTGCACTCGTTTGTATCATGCCCCACATCCTTGTGGTAATGCCAATACTTGCTTTTGTTTGTATACTGGACCGAGCCTCTCATCGACGTGGGCTTCTCAAATTCAAAGTCATCTTTAATCTCTATCAAATTTGAATAAGAATCCTTGTTAAACTCATACTGCGGTTTGTATGTCTGTGGCTTCTTTGACTTAGTTTCTAGGTCATCAGATACCCAGATTTCCTTTCTTTTTTTCTTTCCCTCTTTCTTTTTCCCAGCCAAGTCTTTCTGAGAAGATTGTTTCTTCTTAGCCGGTACTTCAGCTTTAGTGAGTGAACAAAAGTCTGCCACCTCAATACAGGCTTCGGCTTCCCGCAGAACACCTGCGTATGTCCGAACCTTTTTGCGAATCAAGTCAAATTTGAAACCATTATGCCTTAATCCCCGGAGGAATTCCGAATATGCCATTTCATCCGACAGATTATGAATTTGGGCTTTCTTTTGATTAAATCTTTGGACGTACGAACGCAAACCTTCATTCTTAGCCTGAACAATCGTAGCCAAATCAAGACTAGGTTTCCTCGGCGGAATGTTGTACAAAAAATTTTCAACAAACAACATGCTTAAAGTAGTAAAGCTGTTGATGCATCCGGCCGGTAGACTATTGAACTAGTCCTACGCCACACCCTTGAGGGTGGCCGGGAAGCACCTGCACAAAGTGACATCATCACACATTGCAAATACATAAGATTTCGATACGAAGTGACGTGGTCTTCTGAGTTGCTCGTACCGTCATAGGCACCCACAAGTACACTTTGCACCTACGCAGGCTGAGGAGTGTTAAGGATGTAATTCCCCGTATTTTTTAAATATTTTATAAATGAAAATTTATTTTATTTATAATATTTATTTGTTATTTTTCATAATTTAATTTCAAAAGTTTCAAATTATTAATCTGGGTCGAAAATTATTTGAACAAATTATTTTATGCACCTTTATTCTACAATTTATGTTCAGTCACACAAGCCTAACCCATTTGTTTACTTAATCGACCCATTATTTTTATGAGGCCCAATCTTCCTATTTACTCTACTATTCTCTCCTATAAATACACCATGAATCCCCAAAAATTTCCCACTCAAAAAGGTTAGTCTTATTTTCTTTCTCCTTAGTTTTATTAATTTGTGTAATTATAATTATTGATTTATGGATTTTGATTTTATTGTTTGAAATTAATTTAATTAGTATCAAATTGTATTTTAATGATTAAACTTTATAATTTCAGATTTTATAAGTGTCATAATTTTCAGATTTTGTGAATTTTATAACCTAAAGTATTTAATTATTGAAAATCATGATTTTAGGGTTTTATGAACAATTGATTTAGGGCTTTTATAGTAATGATGTTTTGAAATTTTGGTGATTATAACTAATGATTATTTTAACTTAATTCCAGATTATTTTGAACACTTAAATTCGGGTTTTAATTTTTAGATATCCGTTCGTTAATATTAATCCCGTTTTAATCCCGATCAGGTTTTGAACTCATCCGATTTTGATGAAAAAGTAGTGTTTTTCATGTGGAAACAACATTTTAAGAAAGACTCACTACTATTATAGTGAGCACCTGATATGAATCAAGAGGGAAATTCTTTTGAAGATCCAATTACATTGATTTTGAGTCCAATAGGGTTCGAACTTGGAGGGAAAAGTCAAGGATGGGTCACTAGTTTAATTATCAAGGAAGAAGGCAATTAATACTTTAGTTTTTCTACAGTTTTGCTTCTAAGTTTTTGCCTTTCACTTGAGAGGGTTTTTCTTAGTTTAAGCACCTTCAGTTTTCTTTATTTTCTTGTATTTTAGTTGAATCACAATTCCTAAGTTGGTAGGAAGTATCTTAATTAGTTTCTTACTTAGAGACCAAGCTAAGGGAAGTTTCCTACTTCTAATAGGTTTATGCTTGGAGCCCAAGGTTTATGCTTGGAGCCCAAGGTCTATGCTTGGAGCCCAAGGTTTATGCTTTATTGTAGCTTATAAATAGAGGTTGGTCGTGGCCTTTCTTCCACACACAACAAGAAAAATTCAATACAAGTTTTATAACTTTGTTTTGCTTAATTGCTTACAAATCTTTTGCTAGTATTCAATTTAAGGAGTTGTTTTGATAATTAGAGCGTTCAATACTTAGTTCTAGGAGTAGTCTAAGTCTTTTTCATCAAAATACTTAGTTCTAGGAGTAGTCTAAGTAATTTGAGTAGTCTTGAATTCGTTCGAGGAGTTGTCGAATTACATGTCATATCCGGTTCGTTGTTCTTCAAATTGTTCGAATTTCCTATCAAGTTTGGATAATTGGTTCTAATTTTGATATTTAGATTCTTTATAGGTTTAAAGTATTTAAATCCACATCAAATTGGTATCAGAGCTTCAAAGGTTTGATCGTTCTACAACTCGTTCAAGTCGCACTTGTTCTCGGAGGATCAGCTTTTCTGTCAACTTCAGAGGGCTCGTTCTCCGTCTTTAAGAGGTCTTTTAAGGTGATTATTTTTTTAATTTGGGTGAAATTTTGTCTACTTTCTTCCTGAAAAATTTCAGAATTTTCAGAGATATTTTGCTATTAAACTGGACTGTTTTCCGCAACTGTGTCAGTTTTAGTCCAATTTGATAGTTATTACTGTTTGTGTGCAAATTTGTTCCAAGTTGTGTTGCGATTTTTGCTTTGTTTTGGGCATGTATTTTGCATATAAATCATGGCAGATGAGGCTTTAAAAAAGTTGGCTGATATGTTTCAAGAGAAACTTGAGATTATGGAAGAAAAGATGACTGACAGCAATGATGCAAGGTTTGAGGCTTTTGCTAAGTTACTCCAAGGTAATAAAAAGAAGAAAAAACATGATAGTGATAGCGATGCTTCTGGTAGTGAAGATGATAATCATCATAGCAAACACAAGATCTATGATAGAGGAATCAAACTTGATGATTTCACGGGTCTAGGAAGCCCCGAAGATTTTCTTGAGTGGGCGAAACAATTGGAGAAAATTTCTGATTATAAGGGTTTTGATGATGTTAAATGTTTCAATATTGCTTATATTCGACTCACTAAGAATGCGGGAATTCGGTTCGATAACTTAAAGGCTCGACGTGCTAGAGCAGAGAAGGAGAAAATCAAGACATGGACGGTGTTGAAGAAGAAGATGAGTTATAAATACCTTCCACATGATTTCGAACAAACCCTATACATTCGACTCACTTTGTTGTCACAAGGTACTAAGAGTGTTAATGAATATATTGCTGAATTTAATAAACTAACCTCTCTTTGTAATTTGTAGGAGAAAGAACCATTGCGAATTGCTAGATTCCATAAAGGTCTTAATCGGCCTATTGCTAGGAAAATTGAGTTGAGTGCCTATGAGTCATTCAATGATGTATGCAATCTAGCTTTGAAGATTGAAAGTCATTGGCTCGAAGATAAGAAGGACATTGGCGTAAAGAGTTCTAGTAACAAGAATTCACAGGGGTTTGAGGCAAACAAAACTTTCTATAAACCATTCAAGACTAGTTCTAGCGAGTACAAAGGAGAAAGTTCTAAGAGTGGAGACAAGAAGGTCGTCAAGGTGTCCAAAGAGGAATTTGAAATTCGAATTAGGTGTTTCAAGTGTCAAGGAAATGGTCATAGATCCGATCAATGTCCTACAAAGAAGGCTCTTACATTAAAGCAATATAGACAAATGGAAGAGGAGGAGGAACATATATCCTTTGAATGTGAAGATGAAGAGTCCGCAACTAAGGAAGAGCACACTAATGAACAAGAAGAGGATGAGGCTTTTCCCGAGAGTGACGATAATTGTCTTGTGATAAGGAAGATCCTTCATGCCGAGGCTACTCTCAATAACTCTGAACGTGAGAGTTTGTTTCATACTCGTTGCAAAGTAGGTGATACTTCATGTAGAGTGATTGTGGACAGTGGTTCGTGTACTAATGTAGCTTCTACAGAGATGGTTGTTAAACTCCAACTTCCTAAAAGACCACATGCAAAACCATACAAGTTGAGTTGGCTTGATGATTCAAAAGGACTCCAAGTGAAGAAGCAAGCTTTGGTGAATTTTTCCATTGGCAATTACAAAGAGGAGTTATGGTGTGATGTTATTCCTATGAGTGCTTGTCACCTTCTCTTAGGTAGACCATGGCAATTCGATCGACAAGTTACACATGATGGTGTATCTAACACATATTCGGTCAAGGTGGGAAACAAGAGGATCAAACTTCTTCCTTTATCTCCTATTCCAAGCCGCACTAAAGAAAAGGAAAAGGGGAAACACGGCTCCACTTTGTTTGTGAATGCTAGGGAACTTGAAAAAGAAGTTGAGGAGGGAGCTATGGTTTTTGCTTTGGTAGTAAAAGAAAGGCAGCCCACTAGTTCTTCTACGGATAAATATGTAGGGGAATTACTAGAAGAATTCAAGGTTGTTTACCCGGATGAGTTACCTAAGGGTTTACCCCCTTTGCGTGGAATAGAGCATGCTATTGATCTTATTCCCGGAGCTCCTCTACCTAATAAGCCCGCATATATGTGTGTGATCTTACGGCTTCCCAAGAGCTTCAAAGGCAAATCGAAGAATTGATTGAAAGAGGCTATATTCGTGAAAGCATGAACCCTTGTGCGGTTCCGGCTTTATTAGTGCCAAAGAAAGATGGTACATGGAGAATGTGTATTGATTCAAGAGTGGTAAAAAATATTACTATCAAGTATCTTTTTCCCATGCCTAGATTAGAAGACATGCTTGATGAGCTACATGGTTCTACCATATTTTCGAAGATTGATCTTAGAAGTGGATATCATCAAATAAGGATTCGAAAAGGAGATGAGTGGAAGACGGCTTTGAAGACTAAACAAGCCTATACGAGTGGATGGTCATGCCTTTCGGACTATGCAACGCGCCTAGCTCTTTTATGAGGCTCATGAACGAGGTACTCCGACCCTTCTTAAATAAATTCATTGTCGTTTATCTTGATGATATATTGGTCTATAGTAGAGACAAAATTGAGCATATTTCTCATCTTAGAAAATTATTTGAGACTTTGAGAGAACAACAACTATATGGTAAACTTGAAAAATGCTCATTCATGGTCACTAGTATTTCTTTTCTTGGATATATTATTTCGGGAGAGGGTATTGCAGTAGACCCCGAGAAGGTAGTTGCTATTTCTACTTGGGTAGCTCCTAGAAATATTCGTGAAGCACGTAGTTTTCATGGTCTTGCATCATTCTATAGAAGGTTCATTAAAAACTTCTCTACCATTATGGAACCTTTCACGGAGTTGATGAAGAAAGGGGAATTTTTTTTGGACTAATGCGGCACGACAAGATTTTGAAACTATCAAAGAGAAATTGTTTCATACTCCGGTTTTAGCTTTGCCAAACTTTGATAAATTGTTTGAAGTTGAATGTGATGCAAGTGGAGAATATATAGATGCGGTTTTACTTCAAGAAAAACGGCCTATTTCATATTTTAGTGAGAAGCTAAGTGGCACAAAGTTGAATTATTCTAACTATGATCGTGAGTTTTATGCTATTGTTCGTGCTTTGGATCATTGGTCTCACTACTTAAGACCAAAACCTTTTGTGC